CACATGAATGCATACAATGAACTGAATGAATGAGCAATTGAAGAAATGAATGAATGGATGGACAGAAGGGAAAATGGAAAAGATAGAAGGGGATGACACATTGTGTAGTTCAGTGGTTGAATTTGACCCCCAGGGGATATTTGGCAGCATCTGAAGACACTGGGTTGTCATACCTGGGAGGTGCCACCAGCATCTAGGGGGTAGAAGCCAGAGATGCTACTAAACATCCTACAAAGCACAGAACAACCTCCAACAACAAAGAACTTTCTAGTCCAAAATGGCAATAGTGCCAAACTTGAGAAATTCTGATCTAGTTCATTGGTTTTAAATCTCTGCTTCTCCTTAGAATTAGTTCATTGGTTTTCAGCCTTCTGCTTCTGTCTGTCTGTCTCTCTTAACACACTCTGTGTGTTGAGTAGGTCTGCCTAAAATTCCTTGATCTAAGGACCACTTTGCATGCTTATTATACTCTTCATGTCAAGGGATTTACAAACATCTCACTATAAGAAAGATCATGCTATAATGAGTTAAACTGAAATTCTCCATGGGAGTCACAATTCTGAAAGACTCCAAGAATTCCTTGGCTCCCTTATAAGGGAACCACAATATCTGAATTTCAAATTGTTAAGGGCCTTTTGTGTTGGAAAAGCAGGAAATCACCTAATTAAAAGATAATTTGACCATGAAGTATTCTCCACATAGACGAGATTAATAATAAAAGGATTTCAATTTTGTGAACATTCTCTTCAGCAATTTGGAGACTTTCTATTAAAAGATAATTTGACCATGAAGTATTCTCCACATAGATGAGATTAATAATAAAAGGATTTCAATTTTGTGAACATTCTCTTCAGCAATTTGGAGACTTTCAAATAAGGCTGCAGGAAAATGACAACAGTTGGTTGTCTGTTGGTCTCTACTGCCACACAGCAGTCTGGGAATGTGTCTGTGGGTTAAGTTTTAATCTGCAGATTAGAACATTGTAAATGACTAGCGTGGAAATTCATCCAAGCAAAATCTACATTGAAAAATCGTGGAGATGCTGATTCAACCCAGAAACTGAGGTTTATAAGGCACCAACCATATTTCATGAGTCCTGCAGCATGATCTTCCTCCACCATCAACCCGTGACCTTTGCTTTCTTCCTGTCCTGGCACAAAACTCTACTCCCACCTGATAGTCTTCTGGCCCCTACCCACCTCTCCATCTTTAATCTACCAACTATCTCTCTTGCACTTTTTCCTAGAGGTCTTACTGTTATTTAAGTTTTATTGATGTTTTGAAATTTGTATACTATAAAATGCACAAATCTTGAATCTATAATGTTGTGGCATCTGACAGATGGATTTTTCTCTTGTTACTGTCATTCAAGTACAAATATAGACCAGTTGCATACCCCAGACATTTCCCAGAAAACCCCCCACCCTCTGTAGCCAGAGTCAACTGCTGCTTGGATTTCTATCACCATGAATTGGTTTTGCCTGATCTGGAATCTCACAAAAATGGTAGCATGCATTAGGTCCTCTTACTGTGTCTGGGTTTTTGTTTTTTTTTTTTTGGCTCAGCATTTATGCCTACAAGATTCAGACATGTGGCTACAAACTACAGTAGTCCTTTCCCTTTCTATTTTTCAGTGATATTCTATTGTTTGGGGTACTATTATGAATACAGTTGCTATAAATATTCTTGTACAATCATTTGTTTAAAAAAAGCACATGCTTTGCTGCTCTCGGGCATTTACCCTCTAAGCCTTTACACGCCTTGCTTTCCCTTCTGGGTAATTCACATCCTGACTTAGATGTCACATGTTAAGGAAACTTCTACAGAATCTTCCAGGTCCTCCCTGCTAGGAGCTCCCATAATATCCTGTTACTGGAATCTGATATAATAAACATTTTTCTTAATTCTAGCATCTAACATGCATAGGGCAAGTATATGTCTGTGTGGTCTACGGCTAAGAATTACAGCAATTTGGTTAGTGCCTAGCACTGGCCTCTTACATGCCAAGAGCTCCATTAACATCTGTCAGACAGATGGACAGACTGAAGGATGAAGAGATGAAGAGCCCTGAGGATGCATTAGCTAGTCCAATGGTCCTCAGACTATTCTCTTGGGATTCTTATGGCCCCTCACATCCACTCAGACACCACTAGGGTGGGGGTGAAGGCAGGTAGAGCCCAAAGCACTGGGGCCAGGGACTCTTAATCAGGTTTGATCAGAGCATTTTGTTAATTTTAATATGTTTTGTATACCACACTTCCGTGTAATATTTTATTGGAATACAATTTGCTTTTGTTAAAAAAAAAATAACTGAACATCTCTGATCTAGTTAGTCCTAA